TGGCAAGCAAATGTGATATCGCGGGTTTAGACAAACTAGAAAGTTGTTTCAAGCTTGCTGGTGAGCTTGTGCGATGGTGTGTCAGGTTAACTTGTTTTCAATGAGTGGCGTGTTGAGGTGCTGCACTTTCGCCCTAGAGTGTGGTTGAAAGTGTGATCCAGCAAGGGCAGCAAGGGCCAGCAACTTGGATTTGTGGCATGTCTGGGTTTCCAGCCTTGGCTTTCGCAATCTCAAGACCGCGCCTAGGAAGTTGCGGACCCTGACTACTGCCAATCAGTGTTGCCTGATGCAAGATTGCTGTGAGTCTTGCTGTGGTATCGTGCCTCGGCTATGACCGTCACCGCAGAGCTGACCAAGTACCTATGTGGAAACACGTTTGCAGCTTGGGCATGCGCAGGCAGGGGACAGGAACCGGTAGAGCGTTCTTGGCTCAGTCCTGGATAGCAAGTTTAGTCTGGGCTCTGCAACCTTCACCCCCAAGCAGCCCCTTCTGCACCCGACATTGAAAAGGCAAGACCAAACCCTGCGACCTCCTTTACACATCACCACATGGCGTGTGCCAAGGCAAACATCAATTCACCTGGTACCCCTGGTACGTACCTAAGGTCTTGCAGGCAACAACACAGCGCATGGCACTCCGTGATTGCATCGTCGAGATCGGAAATGCCAAACTTGACCCATGCTGCCTCTAAGCGGCGCATGGCTCCAGGCTAAGCTTTGAGTGGGGTCCTGGCTTAGAACCTCATACTTGCAATTGCTGGGGAATCACCGCATTCAGAAACCTCCTGGGCAGCTCTGGTCGCTCACTGGCAACCAGGAACGCTTGCAACAACAAAATTCTATCGGACAGGCTCAACCTATTGACTTCTGGTTAGAGCCAGCACCTCCTGCAGCTGCAGAAACGCCACCTCAACCCAGTTGGAACATGATGGTTTTCAAAAACACGTGTCCCCATGAAATTCTCTGAAATCGACAACTTCTTACTGGAAGGGGCCCTGATTTTTGGACGCCCCACTATTTAGTGGGTATTTCATTCTAGAGGCCGTGACATCTGAACGCCAGGAGCCTTCAGCGTGGCCCTCACCAGGCGCTCCCGCTTCTCCGGCCTACATGAGTAGTGTTTTTTTTGGTGGTTGAACCTAGTAAGATAATATTCCTTATATGAAATAGTATACCCCAAAAGGAGGATATAATCTTACTCTATATTGGGTACCATAGTATCCCCGAATAAAATACTACTCACATGCGGCTGATAAAATGTTGGCAACGGACGGAGTTTCGTAGCACACTAAGTCGCTCTATCACAGTCGCGGGACCCCAAGTGGAGAAATATAATTTCCTTCGGAGGATCTACCGTGGAAGTTGAAGAGCTTAGACATGCTTCTGGAGGTTTGAAACGCGAGTTGTCAAGGAACTTGGGCCAATAGACTCAGGCGCATTACGCAGAGACAACAGGGTGGTTTGCTCTTTTTGCTTGATTGGCTCTCCCTTGCTGGTGCGGGAAGCATCTTCGCAGGTGCTAGCAGTTCTGATTCAATAAGCCACCGGCAGAAAAAGAGGAGGCCCAGCCTGGACCTACCTTGTGTGCACATATGGGAACAGATGTGTTGAACAAACATGCCGAAGAAAGGAAATGCTTCTCAAAACTTGGGGTCCCCGACATCCAACCCAAAACAAACTATTCCTCAGGGTTCGACTACACAAAAAGAACACTTGCCTTTTTTTACAGGTTTTTTTAGAAGCCCCGAAGAACCCCCAATCCCTAAACCCGAAGCCCCTACTTCGACCAAAAGTATCCCAATTCTGCCAGAACCCAGGGATGATGGGGCTTGAGGCCCTAAACCCTGATTGTATCCAGAATCGCTTTCTGTACTTGAAACCTGAATAGTGGGGTACTTGCGCCTTTAGGGACAGGTCGTCCCAAAAGCCTGAACCCCCTAAACCCTAGACCCTCAAACACAAGCCCTAAACCCTAATTCCTAATCTTATGGTCCCCCTTAAGTAGATATGGCTTTGGGTATATTATAATAAGATCCCCATATACACCATATTCTATCTACTGAAGGGGGATTGTAAACCCTAAGCCCAACCTACTTAAGGGAGACTATAACCCCCAAACCCTAAACCCTGCACCTTATCTACTTAAGAGGGACTATAACCCCCAAGCCCTAAACCTTTTTCACTTAAGGGAGACTATAACCCCAAAACCCTAAACCTTATTTACTTACGGGGGACTATAACCCCCAACACCCTAAACCCTAAACCCAGGGAGCCCCAAAAAGGCAAGCAAATCCTTTTTTCCGGCGCTGATGGCTTCGCAGCCGCTTGCCTGTCGCAGGCGTTCCCAGAACCTCAAGGCTTGTGGCCCCTTTAAGGTTTACGGTTCAGGGCTTAGGGTTTAGGTTTCAGAGTTCAGGTGTTAGGATTTCGGGTTTAGTTTAGGATGTAGGATTTACGGGCGTAGGGTTAAGGGTTATAGGGTCCCCATTTAAGGGAGTTTAAGGGCTATGTACGTAAGCTATATAGGGGTCATCTAGGATAATAATTTGGGTTGAAGGTTTAAAGCTCAGGTATTGAGGATCAAGGTGATTAGGTGCAAAGTTGCAATTCCCGTATTGTTTGCCAAAAGCAAATAAATTATGACAATCATCCTCCTGCCTCCAGAATCCCAAATCCTGAATCTAAGGTTCAGGGTTTAAGGCTTTAGGGCTAGCCACTTGTTGGCGGGTACCTTCAGGCAGTTGCTTAGGATCTCAAAGCCAGAGCGGCCAAAAGGATATCCTGGCCGAAAGGCTCCACGAACCCCATGGCACTTGGGATTGACTTGGCGGTTTCAGGACCTTTGGGTAGGGTTTAGGATTAACGCCTAATTTAGGTTTTAGGGTTTAGGTGTATAAAATTAAGTCTATTGTAGCTAACCCCCTAAAGGGGATCTTAATTGTTGGAAGCCTTAGGCCCTACTCCCTGAACCCTGTATACCCCTATGTATGTACCCCCCCATGTAACCCATACATAATTCCTGAAACTGCCAAATGCCCCTGTATAGCCCCAATATAACTCCCATACACAGCATATATATACATGGTAACTCCCCTCCCTGGACCAACCCTTTGCCTTTTCCCTTCATGGTTCCCTACTTGTGTCATGTATGTGATGTGTCAAAAACATTGTAAATACCAGTGAGTTTGGGCCTGTCGCTTAAGATGAGCCACAGATATTAGTCTTCAGAAACGCAGAAAAACGGAGACCCCAAAATGGACCCTCGTCCTGGAGCCGCACATTCTCAAGTATCAGCAGCAGTGTTAAGGACATTTTTCAAAATTCATTCTATACAATACTGAGGCTGCATATTTTGTGTTTCCACTTACTAGTCTCTTTAAGACAAATTAACTCTGGTGATGCCAGCACTTGAGCAATCACTGCCATTAGAAGGTTCATTACAGGACATAATTATAATATAACTGAGGAATTCTCAGACCTTGGGCTCCTTCTGATTTTCCCTACACAAATCTTTTATCTA